AATCGGTCGTCACCAACGGAGTCTAAAGGGGGAATTTTGGAAAATCGACTGCCCCCCATCTTCCCCATCCCCCTAGACGAAAAAAAACGACCAGCAGCCTTCACTTGCTTTTCAGTATCTACAAATAATGTCATGAAGGAAAAGAAGATTAGCAACATTGGTCCCACAAATGTCAGTGGAGTCATCGACTTTGAGAACAAGTTGAGCCCAGAATCAGACGTAACTGTACAGACATCCACACGTAATACTAACGACCAAATTCGAAATCAGGAAAGGGAAAAACGGAGACAAGAAATGGAGAAGAGGAAAGACGAGAGGAAAAAAGAGATGGAACGGCGCAGATTGGAACGAGAGAAACAAAGAATAGCTAAACAGTCGTCTCCTAAGAGATTTACAGATTTAGTTGTCCCACAAGGGGACCCTGATCAGGGAGAATTTGAACAATGGGAAGAACTTGATGAGTCCCCAAGCTCCCCGCGGTCAGACGTAACGGTAAGGGAACATGAATAGAAGTTACTTTCATTTTATACCGTTAGAAGAGCACCGACTTTGTATTTTTAGAGACAACTTCACGGATCAAAGCCATAAAAGAAAAAAACTAACATGTTTAAGACTGTCGAACATGTATTTAAAAAAGGCCGTTATTAGTAAGGCTTATCCCCAAATACTTTGTAACTGTGTCGTTTTTTGGAGGCTTAATCTTGTTTTCGCTCCTCCCATAAGTGAACCTTTTCATTTTGCTTCGCATTTTCGAGCTATAAGAGAAATTTACCGGTTGTAATTCACACCATGTTTGCGCAAAAGCATTACACTGCGTGTTGACATTCCTACCCTAGCAGTATGCAGGAAGTTTATCACCGTCACAATTGACCTTACCTCCAATAGCTTAGTGGTATAGCATCCAAATTACTAATTGGTAGGTCGGATGGTTGTAGGTATGGCTCTTGATGGCAACACCCCGAGTTCTTTTTCGAGTGTGCTTTGTCGTTTACCGAATAACATCATCTTTCATATTGTAGAATGTAGATGGAACTCATCAATCATTTTCTGAATTGGTTTAAGCAAGTTTTATATTCATATAAGAACAGTACCAGTAGTTGCACAGAGATGGTAATGAAGGATTTTCATCGACTATGAATTTTTGCCATTTTTTGTTTCTAGAGCAGTCGTTCAAGCCAAGCAACTGCTGAGCATGGTGTTAACTACTGGAGTGATGATCAGAGTGTTACCAGCGAACAGGACAAATTAGAAATGAACAACGTTGATGTTAATATCTCCCTGCAAGCGGGGAAATCAAACGAACCTTCCTCTCTCTCTCGCAATAAAGAGAGCTATCCATCGAAATCTAGTGCGCCGACGCACTCGAACGCATTAAAACTTGGTTCTAAAAAATCTTCAACTAAAACAGAGAAGTCTTCGAAATCAAGACGGCGAAGTGAAGAGAGACTGGGTAGTGAATTTGAAATCACGCGAATAGAAGTTCGCTCAAGAGAGCCCGATTACTTCGCTGATATGGAGCCGTCAGTGACTTTTAAGGAGAAAAATTCAGATGTTCAACCCGGAAAATCCCAAGGCGCAGGACTAAGTTCTAAATTGGCGATGGTGGAAGATACGTCACAGGTATGGCTTAGAGATTGGGTGGCCTGTGCACAGGCTCGTATTTGAGAATGAGTGGATAACCTGTGAATACTTTAGTTCAGGGCCCAGTTCTTCAAAGGGCGGACAGCGCTCTTCGCCGTTTCTGTTTAGTTGCGGAATAGCGTTAGCCATCATTCGAACCTCCGGGGTTAGGTGTAAAGAGAAAGAAAACATCGACTTGATCTGCTTGTCAACAGGGTTTTTACTCGCAATTTTTTGCTTTGCTGTCAACGCGAACAAACTGGTGTACCATAGAAAAGTGATTTTCTTGGACTTAAGATAAGGGATAACAACTTGGTCTAGGAATTAACGAATATGCTTCTTTTAAATCCTTCGAAAACTAAGTCCAGAGTAATCGCGGTTTTTTTTTGTTTCTCTCTCTAAGAACCTTAACGTTATGACTGCCGTACACCTGCCTTAGCGCCCTTCCTAAGCCTTTCATCTCGCGCTTTGGCAATCTTGTCATTAGAAGTCAAGTTACGTCTCCTGTGGTATGGTTAAAGTATCATAACAGTTGTTTGTTTCAGTGTTAAAATGAGACTCTCTTTTCTTTCTTTTTTTCAGGTGGAAAGTGGCTGGGGTGATGAATGGGATGGTTTTGATTAGCGAGGAGTTCTTTTAAAATTTATTTCCCCTTGTTCAGGTCGTAGGTTTTTTCAACAAACGATTGATCAATTTGACATTCTCCCAATTCTCTTAGGTGGGAGGTTGAAGAAAATGCATCATAATTGTTTGTTTTCAAATAAAAACGCAGTACTGTGATCATTCAAAATCACAACGAAAGAGCTGTGGGTCCCATCTATACCGAGGCGATTTTGTTTCAAAACACATCCTTTTTATGCGTTTTTGCCGAACATCCAAACAAAAAGGATCCAAAAAGGCTCATGAAAACGGGGCCTTTTGAAAACAGCTTAGAGAAAGGAGTGTTTTGAAAAGCATCGTTTTTGAAACAACTCCTTTTCTTGTGTTGATAAGTGAAAGTGTGGCCCTTGTTAATATCGACCGCAAGAAAAAAAAGGACTCGCAATCCTTAATTTTTCCGATATGTACACCTTTTACCATTTTATCAATGTGTCATTCTTCGCGGTGACTGTTAATTTAATTCCTTTTTCAAATCTATTTTCCTCTGCTATAGGTTTTATTGAATTTGCAAACAGAAATTTTATCGAATTATCGAGAAATAAAATGAATAAATAAAGACCATTGCATATTTTATAAAGTTATTTGGCGAAAGTGTTATAGTATTTTTAAAGGTAATACGTTCGAGTGAGATGAATAAATGAAATATTGTTTATCGACACACACGTATTATATTTTGTGATTTTACTTATTCATAGTAACATGACACCTTGATACCATTTCCATTTAGACAAAGCAAACACGGGAATGGTGTAGTCTCAGATTTCCTTGTGGAAGATAGTTGCTTGTTTACTCTTCCATATTGTTGACCGTCTTCACCCCTCATTTAAATTTGCATCATTCTGTAATTATAGCTGTTGCAAAGATATCTCTTATGATTCGTAAGGAGAGGAACGAGAATTCGATTTTTCCAAGGCTAAAGTTTGTTCGTATCCCCTGCCTTGTGCAAATTTCTATCTCAATTCCAATTCTTAGAGGCAGAAACACCAGAAGTGTGATGAAAAACCCCTGATTCAAGTGACTCAGACCTATTTTCTGAGTTGCGCCATAAGAAGCACCATTTAGGAAGTGTTCAATGGAGGCCACATAGCTTCCGAGGAGCTAAATTGTTGCGTGGGAGGGTTTTTCACCGTTTGACTTTTTAGCTGGGGAAAGACAAAGGCTGCATTGTTAACTATAAACAGGTTAAGTATTAGCGACGTTTGAAATATAAAGAAAATATTAGGAGAGACCTTTTGCTATGGGAACAGGACACCTGTTACCACAAATTTCACCCTTGCCATTTATGTTTTGGCACCTTTATCTTTAAAAATTATCATTTCTTATAATATGCAAGTTATCACATCCTGTGTTTATATTTAAAAGTAGATTTCATCTTTTACTTTAAACAACACAGTCACCTTAATTATCTGAGAAACAGCGAAAACCTACTATACTTGAGCATAATTTTTCGAGTAACTTTCCTTTTGAGTGAAAAGTGGTTGACTTATTTCGCCAAAATCAAGCCAAGGAAGGAAACATAGCAATGTTGAAAACCGTAAATGACGGCTATGGTTTTGCCAACTTCATTATATCGTACATTGGAGTTTTCGACGCCGTTTTAATTTGCAACTGTGATAAAAAGATGTTCAATAGCCTGCTATAATAGCGACTCGCGTCGTTTTGTACCTGCTTAATGAACCATGGAGCTTTGTGCTCGCTCTTAGCTGATTGGCCCGTTCGCCAGAATACGGCGTTTTGATTGGCGTACAGAAATCACGGGAAAGTGAAAATCGTTCAACTGCCGCGGCGGTTTTTCGTTGCATATGTCAACAGAGACTCGGAACAAATTTCAAATTTTAACCCCAATCAGCGCCGTAGGAGCAACAAGGGAAACTTTACTGGAGTCGAAAACGCTCTTATTTCTTCCTTACTGGTTAAAAATTGGTCAGTATCAGTACAGTGAAGGAAATGTCTCTAATTTAAATTTGATTTGCCACGGTGTGCCGAGTTAATGATACGCTAAAGACCAAAAGAACGCGATTCGCGTCTATTGCGATCTCGTCACCTCTGAAAGCGTTCAGCAGTAAATTAAGTTTACAGTATGTAATTGTGGAGAGGAAATCTTGAAAGATGAGTCGGAGGTCGAGTGTGAGCAGTAGTGTCAGCACCAGTGCTAGATCTGGCGTTGAAGATGATCCTTTGATGCGAGATTGCTATGATTTGAGACGAAGATTGCTCCAGACCGAACAGTCACTGCAAAGTTTGAATCCACCACATGCGACAAACGGGTAAGAATTTTCATTTATTTACTTCGCACTCACCCCTATAAAGAAAAGATAAAATGAAGTTACAGTAGCAGCTCAGTAAGCTCCTTTTGTTCATCCATACGATCATTTCCAAACAGTTAATTCTCATTTTGCGATTGGACGTCCTGCAGTGAATCACAATCGTGAGTTTATCACTTATGGGCCTTCGTTCGCGATCATTAGGAGTCATTTGTACTAGAATTTGATGGAAGGGAAATTTTTGAGTCTTACTGTGTCTCTATGTAGCTCTTTTAAAAGGAAATAACATTCGATGCCATTCCTAATTGTTGATTCGTGCGAGAGTGGTAGTCGCTTATTTACAAGAGCTTTAGAAGTTTCTACTCCTAATCAATGCCGTGTAAACAATCACGTTACACACGTTTTGATTTTATTTTGATCAAGGTTCTTGGATTCTGACTAAATTAAAGTAATGGCGGTATTTTATATTAGTTGCTGTGTTTGACAGACAAAACAAAAAGAGGACTGAATAGAAAATTCGTGTCGTAGTGAAATACTAACACGAGACAATGCACATGTTGTCCGCGTTCCGAAGTTGGTGTGTCGTAACCAAGGGTACGAAGTATTGACAAAGCTCGAAAGTGTACTATGTTTTCCTTTGATTACTTAGAATTTGATTTTTTCGACAAGGTGTTGCAATTTTCCAATCTTACGGAGGAAATTTCCGTAGATTTATCGTAAAGACTTCGGATTACCTCTGAAGATAAGCTGTGCAAAACAGTCAGGGTGATAATTGTTTAATCAACAAATTTTGATGTTCGCTGTTATCATAGTAAAGTATTTGCCTTCTTCACGAAGTCGTCGCTGATCACACAGACATGAACGTTTCATGGTCATTCAAAAGGATCAATGCATTTTACAGCTCTGACTAATGTTTTGAATATGTCCGCTTTTGAAATATTTCTCCAGAGGTTAAATGGTCTTGTTAAGGTGCACCCAAACATGTAATTGTTATTTAATTTAGACACGTCTGCCTTGATCAAAATCGTATAATTTTTTTTTTTTGAAAGATTAGGCTAAAGGGTTAATTTTTGTGATCCACTGCATACTTTCAAAGCGAAAAACATACTAACAGGGAATTATATGTTGTCAAGAACAGCACTGGATCTTGTTGACAACTGAATTTTGAAGGTTAATTTTTACTGTCTTATCTAAATAAATGGAAGTGTTTGTCAAGAAGTGACATTGATTTCTTTATGATAATAGCTCAGGAATCTATTTACTATCAGTGAGTATTTTCTGCCCAGGTTAGGTTATGATGTGAGTTTATTCATGTTTGAGCTCTTTTCTAGGTAAGAGAAAGACATGAATTTGGAATATACCACAAATAGATTTCAGTATGTGTACCATTTGAAGGAGAAGTTTGTAAATAATGACAGCTTTGTCAGTTTTGAATACAGCTATTGTAGTTGTAAGGCCCAGTTGCGACATTGCAATTTGTGTGAACTCTAGTGTACTAAAGCCTGTTTCTTCAGTGAGATATAGTTAATGTAAACTTGCCATGATCTAAACCTTGGTTGGTATCGCACATGATTTACTCTGTTTAACAACTGCATCACTTTAAGTGAAGGTTGGGTGCCTAATACATCCAGGAGCATCCTCTATTGGCAGCCAACTCCTAGATGGAGATTTCTCCTATGGTTGGCAGATTCTGGCAACCCAGCCATGAGCCCCCATACAGGAAAGGGAAACAGGCACCCATTGCACTAAATAAACAGTGGAAAGAGGGAGGGAAGGGGTGGGGAAAACTGCCTGGACAATGAGCTGCCACAATGCTGCAAGTTCACACTCAAAGCACAGGCACGAACATCTCCAAGAAAGTACATGTAGAATTCCAACACATACATGTGCATGTGCAAAAAAACACTGACTCATAGAGAATGCAGATGCTCTTTATTGTCAACTCTGTTAAATTGCATTTAACTGCATTAAAATGTTAGCTATTGTCTTTCTTATAATAAGTTGAATGATACTGACATCATGATAGATAGAGCAACATGGAATCTATTTATGTTTAACTATTCTCCATTATAACAAGAACAAGGTCAACTTCAGCCCAACTCCCTATAAAAGGCCTGGCAACTTAGCACTCAACTGTATGAGGGGATTGTTTATGGAAAAACTGCTTAGTCAATCAATTTTTTTGCCTTTTGCAGCAAATCACGACAACCTCCTCAGAAGCAAATTTCTTATGAAACAAGAGCTGAAACAAAAGATCGAAACTTTCGTGCCAATGCTGAAGAGCTTGGGTAAGTGACCTCGTTAGCCTTTTAACTTCTAAGAGTGACTGCTATCTAATTTCTCCTACAATATCACTCCTGTATACACATTAAGGTCATGAGACTAAAGGATAACTAACTGGAGAAGCTCTTGATTGTTAATCAAATCCTTACTGTCAGCACCTTCATTAGGAAATATATAGAGAAAAGTATGGAGACTGTGCTTACAGATGTTAAACTGTAGAGGGTTTAAAGGCAGTTAATAAGCATTTAGGAATCAAACTGTTGCACAACTCTGGCAAATCTACCAGCATGTTGATGAATAAATTTCTTGTCTAGTAAGGCAGTTAGATTATGAAGGACCAATGATGTTCTAATATTTAATACACGTATATCACAGAACCTATGTCAAAAGTAGTTACAGTGATTGCTAGGATTAAGAATTACCTTTGAATATAACAAAACCTTGAGATAACAATTTACAAGGATGGAAAATCACCCATTTGGTAAAGAATGAATTTAAGATAAAAAAGTGCCATAATGATGATGAAGATTAAAACAGAAAGCTGTATGTGAGCTTAAAAATTTTCTGAAGACTAAATTTTTTAAGTTGAGATTGCCTATTACATAGAAAGTGACCAAAAGTATAACATAGACAGATTATTTGTAACTGCAAATCTTGGCTCTTGTGTAGAGAAAGTGTCCATTTTTTTCAGTCTAAATGGTCAGAGAAGAAGCTTTTCATCCTCACCAGAGAGTGCTGTGGGTCAAGTGTTGACCTTAGCTGACCTTACCCCAGCTGGCTCTGAGCCAAATCTTTTGTCCAAGGGCCGCAGAGGGACTCCATTGATAACTAACTCCCAGCCCTTGAGGTCATCATACACAGACCTCAGAAATGTATCAACTCACTTGTCACCAAGAGACCAAGAGGTATACCAAGTGTATTATTCAGTTAAATTTTTACAAAATGTTGTGGGTTTTTTTAACACTTTCACTCAAAGGAGAGACTTTTAAGGAACATTTCTGCAATATTGATACATTTTCAACTAGAAAGGTGATAAGGATGAAGGAAACATAAAGTGGGGGATATTGTTTCTGTCAACACTGAGTTTGGAAAGACTGTATGATATATGATGTGAAGAACTGATGTTGACCAGATGTTTAGGGTGAAAAGATTAACTTTGTTACTTGAGAGCAGTTTCCTCATTAGACAATTTACTGTGGACAAGCACAGACACAGCTCTCAGTGCCCAAGTGTACAGCCTAAAGTGAAGATAACAGAAAGTTTACTATTCCAGTTTGAGGTCACTGTAATCACTTCACAATAATATGAGCTGTAGCTTCATCATCAACAGACATTTTTGCTCTAAGGGATGCATTATCCTCAAAGAATCAATGATGGGCAGTTAATTTTATTTTACTCTTTTTTTTTATCTTATTTATTTACAAATATCTTAAAATCTTGTTGCAGCTTGATAGCCGGTCATTTGGTAGTGCAAGTGACTATGACCATGATACCATGATTAAAAAACTTTCTAAACAGCGCGAGGAAAACTCCCAACTTGTCAACCAGAACCACAAGATTATGACAGAACTTGAAAATCTCAGCTATGACCTACATCAGGCAAGAAACAAGGTAAGTTAGCGCATGATAAAATTATGGCAGCATTGCTCAATGTAAAGAGCCCAGAATTAGTAATCTAGTGTCTTAGAGTTTTCCACCCTACAACCCACTGGATTTGTTCTCAGTTGCATTGAGCTCAACTCCGTAGAGCTCTGCAATTTGTAAATGGCCAACCCGTCAAACTCCTGCAGATAATTTTTTTTTACAGTCCTTCTGAAGTTATAGAAACACACATATGTGTGGAAACTTGATTTTTGTTGTTGTTGTTGTTTTTCAGGTAAAGATTCTAAGCCAAGAGTTAGACATTGAAAGGAAAAGATTCCCTCCTATGGAAGACAGGATTGTGAGTTTAGAGTCGGACCTGGCTTCACAGGAGGATGCTGTGAGGTAGAACACTGTCTTTTTGAGCACATTGGTTATGATTTATTATCAGTCAACTTTAACATCCCTAGCCCTGATTTACAGGGAATCTTAAGGGAATGTTAGGTTAAGCCAAAAGGAAACTGCTAGTAAGGGAAACAACATCTACAAAGCTACTTGATTGTAGGGGAGGTTACCTCAAGTGCAGCTAAGTATATAACTAACCACTACGATGTATCAATCAGTTTGAAGCTTCACTTTTACCTGGGCAATGTTTCCTACAACTGTCACATTTCCCCTTTCCCTTCTTCAAGCACAGGCAAACAGAGTAAGAGACATTCTGAAAGCAATTGTTTTTTAATTACATTTTTTTTTTAATTCTTTAGACAGCTAAAGTATGTTTCATCTCTGAACAAAAATTTTAATTGTGGCAGTCTTTCAATGGGTACTTTCTTGTATTCTACAGATTTGCAGAACAAACCATGCAAGAATGCAGGGAAGAGCTTCAGTCAAAGACAGAAGAACTTAGAAGTGTTCTTGAATCAGCAACTGCAGCTGAAAATGAACTCAGAGAAGAAGCAAAATTAAGGAAGAGGTAAGCAAGAATCAAAAGCAAATTTTGTTTGTTACTTTTTTTTTCCAAAGAGTTTTTAACCCCCTAGGCTTTCCATTGTCCTCTTTTCTCCTGTACGGAATGTTTCAGTCCATGTTCTTGCAAGGTCATTGAAACAATTGTAGCACCAAATAGTGGTACTGCCTGATCACGGTCTAAATAGCTAAGCTGTTGTTCAGTTTCTTCTCCACACCTGCAGATGGTGATATCACCAAATAATGTAAAAAAATAGTGACAAAATAAAATAAACAATACGTACACAATGCCTCGACTTGCTATTAATAAATGGGTTCTGTGTACCTGAGAACTACCAAGTGCTTTGCTGACACAGTTTCTTAGACAAACTGTGATCTAGGATCTAATTTCTCCTTACAATATCACTCTTGAATCAAACGTGTAAGTCATGATAATAAAGGAAATGATCATGAACTTAGGACTCCTGATTATTAAACAGATTCCCCTTGTCAGCACCCTAGGAAATGTGGAAAGAGAAGTAAGGAGAATGTGCATACTGATGTTAGGGTATAAGTTTTCTGTCATTTGGTGCACGCCTGATAATTTTGTTTAAATTCTGTAATCATTTGTCAATAGATTGGAGGATCAGCTTGAAGAAGCTTTAAGAAATGTTGAAGAGCTTTCAGACAAACTCACAGAACAGGATACCACGATAAAATCATTAAGAAAACAGGTAACCCGCATGGAGTTAGAGTAACTTATTCAACATCGCTTGAATTAAATCATTTTCAGGACTGGTACTCACCTTGTGAAGCTAGAGCACTTTTTGATTGGCATTTGTAAGGCCAGGCCCCAAAGTAGTCACAGCGATCAATTAGAGCAAATGATATCTAACAAGGGACCAATGGGAACTTTAAGTAAAAGCGCGCCAACTCCCTAAAGAGCGGGAAAACGCGAGTGACCAAGTCGTAACTGGTTCAGTTTGGCACTTGATTGGTTGAGAGGGTGGTGCAAGTTTACTAACCAATCAAACAGTGTCCTTAGCAAAATGTTATGGGCACTCGGTGAAATTCTGTGGAAACCTGCAATAGACAGCAGCACCCTCTCCACCTGGAGGCAGTAGCATGCACGAGTCAGTCTCGTCTGCACACCTCATCTTTCCTCTATTTGAAAACAAATCAACTTGAAACTATTTTAAAATTTCTTAATACATATTCATTTTTTTTTTCAATCATCTTTTCAGCGTTGAGCTGGATTATTTGTGGTATAACTAAATTTCGAAAGCATTCTATTTGTTGTTTCTTAATTTATTTGTTCGGTGTGTTAGTTACACGCACATAAGATGAAACAGAAATTACATATTTCAGTAAATGGTTTGAACCAAGAATTAACAGTTCATTGTGTAGTGTTGTCGTCCGGGTGAGAGTAATGGACTGTTTTGGGCTCCTCTGTGACTGACAGTTAAATAATCAGAGAGGATTCGAGGAAACCGTTTAGTTTCTAATCAACTTAGTTACGTTATTGTTTCTTTGGTTGCAGCATTCAGACCGTGAGAGACACTGGAAAGACGTTAGTTCCCAATCCCAGCGAGAAAGAGATGATCTGCTGGATAGAGAAGCCACTTTACAAGCGCAAATAACAGACCTACAGGAAGAAATAAGGTAAGATGCGTCAAAATCAATAATTAAATGCAGTTCGTTTGTCTTTAATTACATTCTAATGGCAGTACGCACATGTCTATGTGAATGAGTTTAGAAAGTAGAAAAGGAGGTGCAAACATAGTTATCAGTCCCTTGTAAGACACAGTAAATGTACAACCTTAAGATTTTTAAAGTGGAATTTACAACCCCAAAACTACTTCCAATTTTCATGTTGAATCGTCAACAGGGGCACGGATCTGTCATTTTTATTGTCAAGGGCGTCCGATTTTTCAAGACTAAAAGAAATAAATTTTTTCGAATCTTTTGTAACAAAATTTATTGTTTTTCTTTTCCATGAAATCCCTTTTTTTGACCACATTGTTTGAATTGGGTTGCATTAACTGGTTTTTCATCGTAACGTTGGGTAATTGTCTTGAAATCGAACCAAGCAAGTGAAAAGCAAACAGCAATCGTGACTATTTCGATCGCGTTTACTCGTGCATGAAGCCAGAATTAAATTGTTATTTTTGAGTTTTCATTGCCCTCCTCCTTCTGTGATTCCTTGCGCCTTGATTGGCCACTGCGAGTGTAATTTCACTACACCCATTTAAAAACTGCCCGGCGCTTCCGTGTTCTCATCATCTCGGACGCAAGTTGGGCTGGAAACGAAGAGAAATAGCTCATTTCACAGGGCACAAACTACATAAAACTTGTTGGGGTGGGTATCGAACTCGCATGGCATTGAGCACCGAAACTGACGTATGAAATACAGTTTACATTACGTCGCTTATATACTTAAGATCCGCAAGGAGATAGCTTTCTATGGTATACTTTAATCTTTTCTGACGTAGACTTCTCCAAGCCGAAGGGACAGCTAAGGAAGACAGTCAGACGTCTATGCAACACGAGAATACCAGTTTGCGAGCCACTATCTCGCGTCAGAGCCAAAAAATTGGTAGAATTGAAAACGAACTTAGAAAAAACGAGCTTTTGTTGAAAGACCAAGGAGAACTACACAACACAGTGGAGAAACAAAAGGAGAAAATCATCCAGTACCAGCGAGAGATCGAAGAAACAAAACTTCACATGGCTCGATTAGAAGGATTAGTTCATCAGGTTCAGGAACAGAGCATGAAAGAGCATGTGACTGCCACGCCCTCTGTGAGTATTTCTGAGAGGTTCATTGTAAACTTGTACCGCCGGTAACAACGCAAGCATTGCGCGAACGAGGCAAGTTTTTGCTCGCTCTGATAATTGAATGAAAGATTCAATACTTCTATTCATTATTTTGGTTGAAGTAGAATCATTCCAAATTTACCAAACTTGTAGCAAGAGACCAGCCTTTTTTCCCGTAAGCCATTTCGTTTGCTCGAGCTGCTCTTTTATTTGACATGGCCGATACTTTTGCAATCCATTTCCGTTGAGACGTGCCTGCCTAGTCTCTATACAAATACACAAAACAGGTCGCTGTTTGTCTTAATGTTTTCTTACTCTTCTGTTCTCAGACCAGTGACAGTGGCATTTGTAGCAGTACCCAGACAATGAACGGTTACCATAGCATCAGTCCTCGCAACATGGGTAGTTACATACAAGATGACGTAGACAACGAACGCGATCACGTGACGGGCAGCGGGGGAACAGCGAGAGCGGTGATAGCCGATCTGAAACTGAAACTGGCAATGAAAGAAGCTGAGATACAAAAACTACAGGCTACTGCTGTAGCACGGGCGGCCGCTCAGCAGAAGCACATAGCGGGTGAGCAAGATCTGACTGTTAATTCTCCCCTCTAGCTACTACACAATTCCTTGTAAGTTAGTTACGAGAATTTGGTGTTAAACTAAGAAAACAACTTCTGCCTGGTAAGTTTGAGTATTCTCATGACCTGTTTGCTGGATAATGTATGGATATTTTAGGGAGAAGTTACCTGTTAATCATTTGTGGGAATTACAGGGTCAATATTGTTAGGAGGTGGAATGAGGATCATGCAGTAGTCATATTATTTTGAGCAGAAACGACGTGAAATAAGAACGCGACAACTTGCAGAATCTCTTGGCCTCACTGGTACTCCTAACTATCGATATTAACTATCGATATTTGAAGTGGAGTTCAAAATGAGCAGACAAGACGGACTTTTCACAGAGGAAGTACCTACCTTTTATTTGAAGCCTTCCTCCTTTTGTACGCAAGTTAGGAGCTTCTTGGCCAAATGCGCATTGTCCGAACAAACTCCCTAGCCTGGAAGCGCAGATTGAAATCATGATTGAACGCTTTTATAATTTGATTCTGAGAACTATGCTAGGAAGTTTCATGGCAATCGGGAACGTTTGTCCTCGTGTTCATGGTGCATTTTCGTCTGTTTCATTGTCAGGTTTAGCTGGTGATGGTGGTGTTATGGATGGTTTGAGAACCGAGTTGTCGGCCATTGTGGAACGGAGTCGTATTGGTGATCGTAAGCAACAGGAACTTGAACAGATCATCTCGCGCTTAGAGGATGAAGTGGCGCGGTACTCGGCTCAAGCCATTCAACTGGAAGAGCGACTGGCGGACAAAATGGCGCAGATTGCGTCTCTGGAGAGCAAGCTCGGTCAGAGAAATCTTAAAGTGGTTGATTTACAAAACGAACTGGAAGCAAAGATTTCAGATATTGGAATTCTACAGCGAGAGGTAGTAGAGTGACCCTGTTGTCATTGCCTTCTTATTAAAGGCACAGAATACCCATTAAGGCTTTCCATGAGAGAACCTAAGGCCATCACGTTAGCTTTTCCCTTCTGATGAGGCCTCATAACGCTGGAAAAGTTGTTTATGTCTTTCAAAATCATAGTTTACTTTTGTTTCTTTTATTTCTTTGCTTTTTTGTTGTTCCTTCTGGATGAGATTCTAGCCTCCAGTCCCCCTGCATAAGACAAGATAACACTTATGATCTTGAGTCTCGCTCCGTAACTGTCTCTTTTATATCTTTAATCTTAACAAGGTTCGACAAGCTACGTCACGCTTTAGCACCGTCGAGAGACAGCTAACTGACAGGACATCTGAATCGAGCTTACATGAAGCTAAATTAAAGGAGATTCAAGAGGAGCTGGAATCTAAGACTCGGCGTATCGGGGAACTGGAAGGATCCCTGGAAGCAAAGGACATCGAACTGAAGGAATCTGCTGCACTCGTAGACAGAGTGAAAGCGTTACACGGCGAACAGTGTCACGAACTGCAAAGGCAGATAGAGGAGGTAAGACGAAGATGAGCAATGCATCAGAGTTGCCACGGGTCGCAAAATATTTTGGGAGAAAGCTCTCGAACTTGTCCTTTTGGTGTGGCGTTAATGTTAGTGCATTATTGCTATCTAGGGGGAAAATGCGACAATGAATGAAAAGGATTCCTATAATGAGAGGCTTAACGCTGCTACTGTGTTGTTTCTTTTTTTGTATTTATATGTCCAAAGATACTTTCTTTTGATTGTGGAAGAGTCGCAAAATTTTGAAATTATTATGTTAGAAGCAGTCATTTGTAAGGAATTAGTTTGTCACGACGAAAACCCCCAGAAGCACAGGATTCAGTCCAGATGGAGTGAAAATGCCTACAATGTTACTGCATTTTTAAGAACAATGCATAGTGCAGCTAGGCTCGGAACTACGTGGTTGTTTAAAGTAAAATTTCGTCTTTTCGGCAGTCATATGTTTGAAGCTGGGAATAAAGACTGTCTGAAAAAGACATTTCTTTATCAGTCGTAGATTCATGCTTTCTCGCTGATATTGCAATAAAATTGTGTGTATTCAAAAGAAAAGTTTTCTTTTCTTCAGTTGCAGAGATCATTTGAGGAGAAAAATGCTGTCTTAGCTCATCTTGAGACTTCCTTGGCAGGTACGACATCGATGAGCGCTCGCTTCAATTCTACTTTGATTTCACATTATATGTCGCAGAATCTATTATCGGATTTCCTATGTAATAATGTGTTTTTCGTCACGTCTCTAGCCTCCCGCCAAGAACTGACTCTAAAAAAGTCACTCGGCGATCAAATGGAGCGAGCTCTACAGGAACAGAAGAAAGAGATCGAAGTACGGGACACTCAGTCTGTCCAGCACAGTCAGAAACTGGAAAAACTGGAAGAACAGGCTGATAAGGCCACACAGCAGGTCAGAAAGATGGAAGTGTCGTTGGCAGAATGTCACAAGGAAATCGAGATGTACGTGGAGCAGTTAAAAGAAGCTCGCAGTGCACATGAACAGGAGTTGGAAGAGAAGGGACTAGAGGTGAGATCCAAGAGGAGTACTAATTTAACTATTTATGATAGTTGTGTACTATTCCGGAGATTCGTAGCAAGGTTCCTAGAGAAACGCTTTCGCTAAAGCCCTGCAAAAATCGCATGAAAATTTTCTTCTTTGCCTGCAGCTCCTATGAGTCTCTTGGAATTTATTTAAGACAGAGCTAATTGTAACAAGCTCAATAACCGTAATCAGTGCCAGATCCCTTGCAGACCTCTCACCGGCTTGCTTTGACCCAGGCCTCAAGCTTTCTCGTGGACAAAGAAACGCTCTTGCCGACGGGCTATTAATGAGAGCCTTCCTGCAAGCTAGAACACAGTTCTCATGATTTGGAGATCAGTGCGGTCAGCCCAAGATCCCCGCACCTGATTTTTCTTTAATGTTGTCTGTCCTATTTAGATATCCAAGCTGGAAAAAGCATTGCAGCAGACGCTGTCAGACGTCCATCAAAAAAACGAACAGAATGTTCAGCTAGAAAGTATGGTTGCCGATCAGCAAAACGCGCTACAAAGAGATCAAGAGAGAATACGTGATTTGGAGGAATCGCGCTCTCACCTGCAACAACAAGTCGCCATCTTAGAAGAAGAAGTTGCTCGGGAACGAAACACATCGCAATTGGAATCGAGCGACTTACATCAGAAACTCCAAGGAGCCAAAGAAGATATTGACGAAAGAACTCGGCAAATTAACGAACTTAACTCGACTCTGAGAGAAGTTCATAAAGACATGAAACACAGCTCAGCGAGTATTGTGGAGTTGGAGCAGCTTCTGCAACAGTCCCGAAGCCAGTGTGACAAGAAGACCGTGCAAGCACAGACGCTGGAGCAAGCTCTTAAGGAAACGCGAAAGCAACTGTCCGAGATGACAAAGAAAAACGGGGAGTTGGAGGAGAGGTTGCGTCAGGTGGAGGGAGAATTTTCGGAAACGACGGAACATAATGCGGAACTGGATAACGAGGTAATATTTCGATGGATTTGTTGTAACTTCTGTTGGATGCTGAAGACTCTTAGAAGTGAAAATACGTGAAGTAAACACTGAGGTTCATTGAGATTGTGACATACAATGCGGTATCTATAGCGCGTTGTTTAAGTTTTGTTTTACCACTCTGTGATTAGTCGCAAAACCCGCGTCATCCTATAAAACAGTCATACAGTGCGTCAAACTAAAAACAGTGGCGACTTAGTCACTCGTGTGTTTATGTGTATATACACGTGGACCGTAACACGTAATTACTTTGAGTATCCATATCCACTTTGTAGTATTTTCCAGTTTTCTGATCGGTCAAGTGCTGGTGCTATAATCGTACCTATGACGTAAGCAAGCCCAGTTAGTTCTCGGGGAGTACACTCTTAGTCATTGTTCACGTCGTCGTGATTATACGTCTCCCTCGCAGACTAACATCTTTTGCAATTTTCATTTAGGTGAACAAAATTCAGACCGAATTACAGGACACAATATCCCAACTGAAATCGCTCCAAGAGGTGTTGCAGACAAGTCAAAAAGAAGTTCAAGAAAAAGAAAAGAAAGTCGAAGAACTGGACAGAATGTTGAACGAGAGCATGGAAGAACTACAACAGAAAGATAAGAACTTGAAAGAGAAGGAGAATAAAGTCGTTGAACTCGACAAAGCGCTCAAGGAGAGACAATGGGAACTAAAGCAGAAAGCCGCTCAGGTGAGTCACTGAACGTCACATTAACATGAGACTCAGAGGTTCAGAGCAAGTACTGCGAGTTCTTTTCGTGCTGCCGTCAATGATTCTTGTGACAATCATTTTAAAGCAGAAAACGGATAAAATTTTTTTCAAGCGCAAATGAGTTCTATGACCTTTTTATGTTTACAAGATAACAAAATTGTTTCAAAGAGGTCCGCAAATACGTGACGGCAGGTACCTCTTTTCTCTGGCGGATGCAATATTGATTTGACATCGACTTCTAATTTGAGGATGATTTGACATGAACTGAAGCTCGCCTTTGTAGGGATGAAAAAATTCTCGTCCCTCCTCTTGTACTCTACACACAAATTTGATGTCAACCACTGTACTAGCACTGTACTTCTTTCCTCTGGCAGCTGTATAATGAACTACTGATTTGACATCGACTTACAATAATTGAGAATGATTTGACATAAACTGAAACTCGTCTACGTAGGGATGAAAGCATTCTCGTCCCTCCTCTTCTACTCCATATCCTAAATTTGATGTCAACCACTGTACCGGCAGTTTTCTTTGTCTCTAATTAAGACAAAGCTTCACGTTTTTCACTGTACTTTCCAGGTTACCCAGCTTGATATGACCATGAAGGAACACAAGAGTGAACTCCAACAGAAGGTCATCACTTTAGAGCATGCGTTAAACCAGGCTCGATATGAACTTAGCGAGAGAGCTGTTGAGGTAATTAACCCTGAAGACATGCGTCACTTTCTTCAACTGTGTTACCCTCAAGTTGTTATTGCCAGTAAATTATTTGCTCGAAATGAGTTTGGAATCTTTTGGTTGCAACCAAAAAACATTCTCAGTCATACACAAATACTAATGTATCCTACACTCTGTCTTATGCATAGAGAGGAAGCTTACTAGTAAACTACCTGGAAAATTGTACGAACTCGTTATCTGTTGTGGAAATTTAGAATAAGAAAAGCAAAGCCCAACCTCACAAGTCGAGCCACTACAGACCAAAAGTTTTGTTACTGTTGTTAATGTAGTTGTGTTTTAAGCCTTTTTTCTTGGGAAGAACCCCAGTAGGCTCATGTACTCGACCCAGTTCAGAAGCTCTCGTACAGACATATTGAATGTAGTTGTTGAAATAAGATCAGTCATCCCAGTGACGAGAAAATGTTAACTTTTTATATATTGTGTACTCCGTGGCGTGATGCATTACTGGCGTATTATAAAGAATTTTGCAGCATTGAAGGTTTTATTCCAAGGAATTAAGTCACATTTTTGTTTGTCCAGAGATACAATCCTAGGTAATAATCTACATGATTTACACCAAGAAAGTTACCGTTTTCTCGATTATATCGTTTACTATTGCAGATTGCCGAGCTTAGAGCTAAACGGGATCAAAATCAGGAGCAAGAGAGGCAAAGGAAAACCAGAATCGAACATTTAGAGAAGACTGTAAAACATCAGCAGCAAGAGTTAAAGAAACGCGCTACTCAAGTGGCTGAGTTTGAGAGAGTAAGTGCTGCATTGTTGTTTTTTCTGTAATTTACATGGCAGTTCAACAATGTTGGTAATCAGTTAATCAGAATTGCAAACAAAAACTTGCCACGGAGCTAGTGGTTAGTCGCTACAAAGAAAAATTGTCCAAAGTCGTTTAAGGCGGGAGAATTGACACCTAAATATGCAACCACTGCCAATCGCGTCGCTAGAACGCGCGAAAGTTTGTCAAGATTGATTAACAGTTTGCTTCTAAGTAGTTGAGGGAGGAACAGTCTTTTTCTTATTGTTTGCAGTTAGTCGCGCAATTTTTCGAGCCAATGGGAAAATAATGTCGACTAAGAATCTCTGTTTCTTTTTGTCACTTTATTGATACAAGTGAGACCAACTTTTTGTTTTGGTTGTCAGGAACTTTCGAAGTGGAAAAAGAGACGTGAGGATTCAGAAGAGACAAGTCAAGAATTACGCTTGGCTCGTGAGCAGCTGCAAAACACGGTAATTGCTATCTGACTTTGTCAAGTCAATTTTAGGAAGATTTTTCATACATTTTTCCACAGATCTCTTTAAACCTGGAGAAGTAGCCCTACTAGGAGCCATTTGTTATTTGAATTCCATGTTCAAGGAGAGAAATTTTAAAAGATACTTTTCTAAAGAAGAATTTAGCTTTAATTAAATTTTTACTTCCATAGCACGCAGAACTGATGGAAGCTCGCCGCGATCTTTTGAAGTGTCAGAGGACGGAACAAGAGCTTATTCGTGAACTTGATGACGCGCATGCACTCTTAAACACGAAGGAGTCGGATTGTACAAGGCTTGCAAAGGAACTTGGAGCGGCTCAGGTGCGGGAAGCTCAGGCTGAGGCTAGGTGCGTGCAGGAAATGAGAAAAGCGCATCAACAGCACGAGTTAAAAGAGGCCACCCAGGATCAAGAGGTAAAAAAAAATATGATAGTACTTTGAGCCCGTTATTTTAAATAACGGCTGACAGTTCGTCTCTGCAATAAGTTTTACGGGATCAGATTATTTACCATGTAATTTTGTTTATGTTCCTCAGTAATGCAGAGCTCTTAAGTACCACTTTACTTGTGGAGGTTACTTCATTAAACGCAACGTCGTTACTTTCATGATTATAATGTTCTTTTTTCTCGATTTTCTTTGTGGAAGGTACAACGCCTTCAGGAAGACCACGCCAAAGCACTCGCACAGAAAGATGAAAGCGACGCAGCTCACCGTATAGAAATTCAGAGACTTCAAGATCAGGAAAGAAGACACGCCCAAGATTTAGCTCGAGCACAAGAACAAAACGGAACTTTAATAGAGGACAACAGAAGCTTGGCATCTCAGCTTGTATTGTACCAAGAAGATGCGAAGGCGACGAGTGAGATGCTTGTTATAAAAGATGCAGAGGTATTTTTAATGCTCGGTCTTTAGTTGAAAATGTAATTGAGTAAACGCTGTACCTGAGGTGGAGTACTCGCCGAATATAAACTCCAAGGGCATAGCAAATGTCCATTCCACCATTATTTGTGATCAAACTCCTCTTTGGGAACAAAAAAACCTACTAAACTTTTCCTCGCTCCCCTTATTTGGCTTTTTAATCAGTTGATAGCAGCGCCTAACCGCTGTATGTTTTGAAGCCTCGTTGAACCCTGAAAGCCTTTTATTACAGCTTAATGTGAGGATTTACTTATCAACCACACTCTTTCCAATTCATCGCTATTTCCTCAAGATAAAATATTTATTTTATGATTGTGGATTTTCTGACATCTGTCGTCTTTTCGCACCACAGATCGCTCGTCTGGAGGCCAAAGTGTCCGGCTATGAGAGAGCTACGTTCGGTACGAGTGTTCGTCTTGACGGAACAGGCCGAATTACTCCGAGAGGAACTAGAAACGCGTCGCACATGCGTCATGTAACCTCACCGAGAACTGTGTCAAAGTCTTCGGTCAGCGGTATGAAGAAAAGTAACTCGGACCAAAACCTTAATAACGTGTCAAGCAACAGTACACTAGTGACTTTCAGCCATCTGGATACTCAAGACATGATGGAAAACCACGCTCATCCTCAAATGCCAGGTATTCTTGTGAGCCAACATCACTCACACAGTCAGAAGCCGTACTCTTTTCCTCACGACCAGAGTAGATCGGTACAGTCAAGCTTAGAAACTCTCGAGGGACTTCTTAAACAAGCAAACATGGAAATGGCTCGAGATAGTTTACCTCTGCTTCTCAATAACTCTACGTCACAAGCCGGTGACGTCACTCTATCTGCCGCTGACCTTAATACCACGCAACCGTCTCCACCTCAAAAGGAAGAGCGTGACAGAACTGCCGAGAAAGATACTAGTGTAATTGATGGCGACGGCGAGGTCAGCGGATTGTACGAAAATCTTCATGAACAATTAGAGAAGAAGAAAGCGTCGCTGGGTATGTCACGTGATAGGGGAAGTGATAGTGATTCTCTGGACCCTGATAAATGGTGAGTTATATGTGCGGCTGACATTTCTTTTCCGATTTCTGTCTAATATCATCGCTGATTTCTGTTTTCTTGTAGTCGCGCCAGTCTTCAACAACGCTTGGCTCTCAATGAAGCAAGAAGAAAGAACATAGACCAACAGCTACTGGAAATGCAACAGAATGTTGTTTCTTGAGAGCGCCGATACCGTTTAACTTCTAGGATCTGATGGGTGTGTCTCTCCTAATACATTCCCATTGCGGAAGTAGTTATTTAAAGGAGTTAGTACATATCAATTTCTTCCTGGAATTTCTAAAAGGGTTAAAATCGAACTATACGGAAATAAGGTCTAACCTACATATTTTATCAGGATTGCCACTTTTGATATCATCATAAGCGTTGACCAACTTTCAGGGAGTTGAACGACATTTTGCACCGAACTGCTTCGTTGATCAACTGAATAAGTATGGTTATTACTCTGACGTGTTCTTGCGGTGTAAATATGCCACATCTCATTCACCACTCGATCGCCGTTCATACGTACAACAAAACTGTTTTTAATCTTAGTTTCAATCACATTCACGCGAATAGATATTTTTATTCGGAAAGTGTGTGCGAAGTTCACATATTGCGTATTCGCTCCCGGTCATGCAAGTTCTTTGAGGTTTTCGATCTTCTCCAGTCAAGTATTTATATGGTGCCTTTATGATTGAAAAATCCTATTAAGTGTTTTCTTCGAAAGACGCGCGTTACGGTTCATTTAGCCATCCTAACTAGTGTAGTCTAGAGTTTATGGCTCTTAATTTGCAAATTGCAGTCTGTGGTAGAGTAATTTTGAGAGTGTGGAAAGTATTCCGAGATTGTTTTGGTTTTGCTTTACTTCATTGGGTGATTTGTCCAGAAAGCCTGCGTCCTTTTCTCAACCAATTAGATTAAAGGAAAATTAAAACCAATCGAGACTTGGCTCCACGCGGTTCCCCGCGCGTAAATCAATTTAGTTTTTGTTACTTTGAGTTCTCGTTGGCTCGTTGTATTATTTTCCTTTCCTCCAATTGACTGTTGTTTTACTCAATACAATGCACTCTAATGTGCGTCATCTTCGTTCTCTTTTGCCGTGCTATTACCTCGGTGATATTTGTTTTCATCAAATGATTTTTTCGGGGTTTACATGTTATTAAAGGTAACTTTCTGTACTAATGTCGCAGTTCTTTAGGGTGGCTCAGAAAATCTTTGTGGTTGGTTCAGAGCAAGCCTAATTGGCCAACAATGAAGTGGCTCTTCACCTTCCTTGGAATTGTTTTTAGAACTCTTCAGAAGGATGATCTTACTTTTTGATTGCAATTCAATAATATAAAAAGGAAGGCAGTGAATTGGTGGAGACCTGCAATCGAGTGCGTTGCTCAGAGGCTTACAGTTGCTTTAATAACCTTGCATGTTAGTGATTATTTCTTGGTGAGAAATAATTAAACAGATTTTGACAATCATTTTACAAAGAAACTCGTAAAACTGTGTAGCATCGCTCTATCAAAGAACCATTTTGAGCCACCCTAGGTTTACTCGTCCACTTTAGCCCTCAGTGTGGGTCTACAAGTCATGTATGGTTTCTCGTACAAAACGAGGACGCCATGTTCAGCGTTAAGAAAATGAAGCCAAAGAAATGTAATATATTTTTATGCATAATATTTTGATATATAAGATATTTCTGTGGTAATTTTCGCGTAGATGATCTGTTTTAGTTGATTCATAGATTATGACAGACGTAGATGTAATTGAAATTTATTAAAATGTGGATGATTTTGTGCCTTTGTATTTTTAATATATGGCGTCTTGAGAGCCACAGTGTCTGATAACATGATATTGGGGAAAAACCGAAATGACGTAGGTTGAGGGAGCATGCGCAAACGATATGTGAGGCACGCGAAGCTTGTTGAATACCTCGCACTCATGGGGGCCGCGTTGTCACCGAAAACCTGCCTCCTATTCTTAAACAAATCGAACCAGCCATGCATACTATCGAGAGAGCTGAGCGTTTTTTAAGCTAACATCTTACGTTATGTCATTAAACAAGTTTGGTGTCTCACCATTAGAGTGATTGTAATTTATGATCGCGAATCTAAAATCGAGTAAGGACCTCTTTAAATGGTGTCTTCTTTGAATTGTTGGGTGGGGTTGAAATTGTTTTACTATCCTGTTACAAATTCAGTTATAAAATGCCCGCTCGAAGCTTAAAGCTGACGATTGGAGAACGGAATTGGAAATGGAATAAATTGTTCTTCTCTATTGAAAAGAACTCTGAAATGCTCGAAACATCAAACAGGAAATGGAAAAAAGGAAATAGATCAAGTGGCAGACCTAGATGGGGACCTCTTCATTGTACAAGAAACAGGAATTTAACTGGAATGCGCTAAGATGGAAGTAGAGACCGAAGAGGGAACCAGCATGAAGGCAAGTATTGGAACAAACGAAAAAAGATGAAAGCAAAGAGTAATACGTGAGAGAATAATGTCAAAATGAAATGTCCCCGAATCCTGCACGAAACCTACCTCTCTCAGTGTTTCAGCTGACCATGTACATGAACTTAGTACCATTGCAGTCACTTATCACTGCAGTGGAATATGATGTCCGAACCTTGCTTATTCCCGAGAAGCCAATGATCTCTTTCTACCGTTTAAAAAGAGAGATTCAGTAGAGAGGCACCTGGTGCTCCCAAGATCTGTGCAATGTTAGAGAGATCAAGGAACCATGCGCATTTGCCCCAAACTTCCTTGACACACAGTCCGGCCCTCCGGAGGAGCTCTGGGAACAAATAGACAAATCCAACATGGCGGCTTGGAAGACAAACTTGAACGTTAACCTTTGACGGCAAACCTGACCGAAGTAATTCCTTTAGTACTACTTGGCGAGAAAAACACGTTTCTCTCTCCCTTTTGGGGTGTTTTATTCCAAAAACGTGTCTACAGTGGCTAAAAAAAAAACAGAAATGGAGCTGATGTTCGTGATGAAAATTATGTAAACAGAAGCAGCGTGTCAAATTGAAGGTAAGAAAAACGTTCAAACCGTTCATTTTTTACATGTCGTTCCCACATTATCTCTACTATCTTTTTTATGATTCCTACTGGTTTGGAAAGCTTGTGACAAATTGTCTTGATGTTCTCTAAACATGTGCATACATCTCAAAACTTAAAATTCAAAGAAACACCTGGCCTTAAAATAATAATGAAATAATAATAATGATAATTTTATTCCTCCCAAGATAAAAAAAAAAATTATCTTAAGTGACATTCACAATTTATGAAAAAATGTTAGTCCAAAGTTATGTGAGAAATAAACAAGTAGTAAAAAGGCTAATGATTATATTTAAAAATAACCTTATTTGCAAACACATTCTTAACTCATGGACACCTGGACCGCCCTTAAATCTATCAGAATTCACTTCTAGGTGATAAGTAGTTCTATACTTTGCTTCTGGCTGCCATCACCTGTAGTAGTGGTTTTGAACACCAGGTATCAAATTTGCTATCACTAAATTGTCCAGCTCCTAAAATTATAGTTCAGGGCCCAGTTGTATAAAGGGCGGATAACATTATTCAACAGATTAATCGCTATCCAGCAGATAAGTGATAGCAAAAGTGATAGCATTATCTGCCAGATAGAGATTTATCCAATGGATAGCTCTATCCAATCTTTGAACAACCAGGGCCAGAAAGATTGCTGTGTTACACCATACTATTCTAAAGCAAAGCCACAGTCCCAAAGGTGATCTATTGTTCTCTTTATCCAAGAACTGTGTAGTATGGGGCTTTGTAGGGATGTTGCTTAAAAGTCCTCTAAGTACAGCCGTTTGTAGAAAGTTTGTTGAAAAAAGCTTTTAAGTCCATGCAACAACCTTGAATGGTGTTGTGGGTAGTTTTCAGGTCATTGTCCCTTGATCTAAGGATTTCAAAATCTTAGAAAACATCACTGTAAGGAAGAGGCATAGAGGGTTCGATGAATTTATTTTGTTCACAAGACTTTTGATTCTGAACTTGACGAAAAAAAAAATTTACCCTCCTGTCTTGATGGTGACTATAGTTTTATATAAAATTTTATGTCCATGCAACCATCCTAGTAGGAAAGTTTCCTAGACATGAAAGTGATTTTTTTATCATTTCTCTAGATGCCATAACACAAAAACTAATGTGAATGATACACCAATATCATAGCGATGTGCCTGGAGAACTACTCACTACAATTTGTATTAGTATTTTGCAAATATGTGTTACCCAGTAGAAGGAGAAACTGAAAACAGAGCTTACAGATAAAGACACAGTATGAGCAACAAATCAAACTTGTGGAAGAATACAGTAAAGCAGTCTTTTAAGACCTTACCTTGTGCAAATAATTTGTTTTAATGATTTATTGGTGTACCTCAGTGTTCCAGCCAAAACCAACTATTCACAAAATAAAGCAAACTTTTATTTAAAAGCTACAGGGTTTTACAAGGGATGGTAATTGCTTCATGATCAACAATTATTAATTTTTTTATTCACTAATAAATTATCAATAATTTTTTTAATACCATTAGTCAATTTGCAAACAAAACCCATATTTGGAACAAATAAAGGCTGATATCACCCACTTAACTTCTTTTCTGCTGTCAAAAGTTTAAACCCTATTATCTGTGTATATATCAGGTCCTCTCTATTCATAAAGAATTTAAATGTATCAGTCCCTCATTTTCCTTACAACTGCTTAGGTTGGTCAATAACGCTTGTTTTTAATCAGTTGGGTGAGACAAACAGGTAGAATTACAGGGAAAGGGTTCTTTTTCTGCGGTCAATGCTTATTCAGAATATTCAGTTGATCTTACAGCCCCTAGAGAGAGGCACTCTTAATCACAATCAATCAAGGTTTTCTTTGGTCACTTTATTTGGTCTAACTTAGCACCATGTCTCTTTATTTCTGAGTAAAGCAATTTTTACATCAATTGGATCAAATTTAGTTCCATTTGTAGAAAAATTACATTAAAGGTTTTTTTCTGTTTTTAGGCAGGTCTAGGTCAGTTGATTTCTGATGAGATGTGAATCTGAAGAGGCATATGTAGCCATTGTACTATTTTCAACAGATTGTGTAAATGTAAGTCTTAAATTGTGTTAAAGTATGCCCAGTCAGTAACTTGACAAATCAATGTTGAGATCAACACTTAAAATGGAAGGGATGTGAATTTGTCCTAACCTTGTCTGACTTTACATTCAATAATAACTATTTTAGTTTAAACCACAACAGAAGACATGAAATTATTTCTGTTAATAAACCAAAAAATGGTTAGAAAATAAACTTTTGACGTGCGCTTCTGTCTCTAAAGTTGCTTAGAGTATAATGGCATGTACCAACCACTACCGAACTAGGCAATTAGGGTGTGATAAGCACTATTCACCTGTGTGGTATATTGTAAATGGTAAGGGTAAAATGAGGGTACCCTTATAATTTAAAATAAAATTGTCCTTAGAGAACGGTTTTATTTAAAGTGAAAACAACTTCTTGACATGCAAACATGAGAGACATCTAAATTTGCTACTGAATAATAGTTACAAATTACTAATTTGCAATAAATGACCAGTCAATGAAAAACCCTGTCTAAAGGGAAATGTTCCTTTTGCATTATATTTGTTTAAAAGTAAATGCTCTTTATAAATAGTAATAAAATCAGTTCCAATAAGATTCTTCCCAAACCAGTCAAGTAAAATGTAGTGGCAATTTTACTTGCTCCTCAGCTTGTTTTACTTTCAACTTCCTATGGTACAAGACACTTCAAGGTCATTTGATGAAAAAACTCATTTAAATAGTTACATCTATGTATTTGCAAGCCCTCAGTTAAACAGGCCTTGCAGAATTACACATTTTGAATGTAATGAATACATGATATGTCTTTCACTTGACAGGGAGCTTCATTTTTCTAATTTCATCCTGGCATTCATATGGTTTTGACATACCTCTTCAATAGTCAAATAGTTATAAGTGTAAGTATTAACATTTTACTTATTATTTACAGGTGATGGTTTAATTTACAGGGATATGGTTTTGAAACTGGGAGACAATGTGGACTAGAGCCCCAGTAATCTGGATGTGGCTGTCATCTAAGCAGTTGCTGTTTTACTTTCCAGTCCAGGGTGCGTAGTAATGCAGTCCATCTTAAATATCATGTTAATTTACATTGTGTATAATACTAGGCTTAGTTTTCTTCTAGCTGGCTAACCCATTTGAAAAACTGACTGGTTGGTGTTAAAGACATACCCAGTGACTGACAGACAGACAGGAAAACTTCATGGCTGCAGATTTTCCAGAAGGTAACTAAGTCACTGATTGACTATATGACCTAACTGACTGACCTACAGACAACCTGACAGGATGGCTTGTTGGCAGCTGGTTCCTTGACTACTTCACTGACTGAATGGCTTGTTGTCTTGCAGCTGGCTAGCTAGTTTGCTTTTTGACTGGTTGACTAATTGGCAGATTGACTGGTTGACAGGCTAATAGCTCTCTGGATGAGGGACTCTGAATGACCGATCTACTGATTGGCTGAGTGACTGACGGACTGACTTGCTGTCATACTGCTTAACCAACGAGTATCCTGAGTGAATGGCAGGCTGATTGACACACTCACTGATCAATTGACCAGCCGGCTGGCTAGCTAGCTTCTTGACTGCCTGCCTAACTGAATTCCTAACTGGTCAACTTACTGACTTTCTGTTTGCCTGGATTCCTAGCCGGCTGATTGACTGATTGATTAACAAACTATCCTACTGACTGAAGTGAGTAAGTTTCTAAAGAAACTGTGTTACTACATCGGTGGGAGAGTATAACAGGGTAATTTAGAGTTGTCAGCTAAGTTGATAACATGAATTGACCACCGTAAAGAGTTTCAAAGTTGATGTTTCAAGCATTGGCTCTTCATCAGCAAAAATGGAGGAATTTTGTGTTGTGTGTGTGTTTAACCTACTGACTGACCCACTGAGTTACTAATTTGTGTTACCCACTGACTGGTTTTTCAATTAGTATACCCAACTGACAGACAGATTGCGAGGTTTGTACACTAAGTAACCAAGTCACCAATTGACAGCTTGACTGACTACGTGTACCAGCCAGCAGCTGACTGTCTGACCAAATGGGTGACTGACTGACCGACTGGCCGACTGGCAACTTGCTGACTGACCTAGCGGCTGATTGATTGACTGTCTGATTAGCTAGCTGGCTGCTTCTCGATACAACTGACAGGCTAGCTGGTTACCAAGCTGACGAACTGATAGACTAAATGGCTAAATGGCTGCAATTCGCTCTGACGAAGGGTTAACGCTCGAAACGTCAGCTTTGAAACTCTTCACGGTGGCCAATTTGCAGATAATCAACTCAGTTGATAAACCAAATTACCCTGTTATACTCTCTCACAGACGCAACGCCACAGTTTCTTTAGAAACTTAACCCCTTTGTTTGAATGGCTTACTAATTGATGGATGGACTGACCGACAAATGTCTATAGCTTTAGCTATAGTGGCGCTACTCTTTGGAACAGACTTCCTTGTTACATAAGACAAGCAGAGTCCCTTGGGATATTTAATCGTTGAATTAAAGAAGTACGCTCAGGCAAGGCATTCGTGGAAAGCAGCTTTAGCTAAATTTGTGCTTTAAGTATAGTTTTTATAGTATGCTATCCATTTTATGCATGTTTATATATTTGAATGTTTTTATGGCTGATGAATTGTCCGTGGGTAAATAAAGATTATCTATCTATCTATCTATCTGATTACAGTCAAACCTGTATTAAGCAATCACCCACGGAGAATGACCGCCTATTACAGGTTCCACAGAATTGGGGTATGAAGAAATACGCCATTTTATTCCATATTGCATCGTTCAATGCAGGTGGAGGACAATACAAATAGGCCATTGGGTTTCGATAGAGTCTTAATAGAGGTGAAAAATCCTGTAAATTAGGGTAAAAAATCGGGACTTGACAACCGACCGCTTCATACAGGGTGACCGCTTTGTAAGGTGCTGCTTAAAACCGGTTTGACTGACCAACTGACTGATTGACAAATGTGCTTACTAGCTGAGTAACTTTAGGTGGTGACTAAGGGCCTATCCGCATAAGCGTTGTCTCGACTAAATCAAGGGACTCATTATTGTCTCATCTGTTGCAGCTGCATGAAGACTTTCAAATTCCGTAAACAACGAAAAATAACACGTTTCAATGCCTGATCCGCTCAAAGACCGACCGGCATAGTTTGCCAGTGGATTCAATCTCCAGTTGCCAGGATTTATCTTTAGTCGTTTTAGAGTTTTGAATCAGCGGCACGTTCTTTTGGAGGGTGGGGGCGGATGTAAACGGGCCAATCTGAGGTAGTAACAGTCGGTTGTTTCTTATCAGAGTTGTCAAAAACAAATCATTTTACGGCAGCACTCATGAGAACCTGCTTTTATTTTGATGGCTTTCAGGTAAACAGGTAAAAGGAGACTGCAATTTTGCCTGGATTTTTTCTGACTTAAGCATGGATTGGAACGTGCAAGCTGATTCCTTTACCATTCACCAACAGGTTAGAATGTAGAATAACACATGGACAATAACTCGTTGATGTCTTTTAACGTACATGATTGATACGACACCCGTGTAAATACTGGGAGAATACAAAAAGAGTTTGTTCCCATGTGCCACATATAACTAGATGGTTTGTAATTGTTTTGAAGTGATGAATTTGCGTTAGTAGCGTTCTGCCGAGAAATTGATTCCACAGTACTTAACCCTGATACTCATAAAGATGCACGCTTCAAAAAAATAAATTAAAGGTTGTTAAATTTGATTTTTTTTGTGAAAATTTTATATTTCCTTCGAACTAAATTCATTGAAATGACGAGTAGCGTGTATTGGTTTAATTACTTGGTTAATCAAATTTGCACTGCATTACAGCAATATTACTGGCAGTTTCATCACATCTCAAAAGATCCTTTTGACGAGTTACGAGGTGTTAGGGAAATGTGATTAAATGTGGTTATGTTATACACAAATTTATGTTAAATTATTTTCCCACCTTTTTCAGAGTGTTGTATCTGTTACTTTAGGCTCGTTGCAGTTTGTTACCTCCTGACTTTGGTTCCTTTATTTGAAGATGAATGTTGTAAGAATAAAGGTTTTGGCCTCATTTTCTTTTGTTTTATTTCAGATTTGGGAGGAAACGTTGGAGAACTGAAGGAATCAGATCGGATGGAAGATCAAGTATGACTTTAATTTGATTTTGTTTTGAGTTAAGAGGCATGTTATCCCATACATGTTAAAGAGATTTCATCTCTAAGCTCCTAGTTGTACTGAAGATAAATGTTTGTGATTACTATAGACTTAAACCATAGAGGAAGACGGACCATTTCCTACGTTTGCCATTTACAGATTTCTGTGTTTATTTTGCATGTTTGTGATAATAGGAATGAATATCTGATTATTTAATATTGCAAAGAGAGAGTTAGGTTCTAATTTACTTGATTTTATTCTAGCTGCAGTTATTATGGCTTTAAAGACCTATACACGATGGCCGGTTTTCAGTGACGGCTGCGTCTTTTTTTTTGTTTGTTTGGTTCGTCAAATAAGCAGAAGAAAGGTGTTTCACATGTATTCTTAAATTTATTTTAGATTAAGTGAGGAAGCGTAATTTTCATCTTTCAGAGCATGAATAAGGTCAAGTTTGGATCAAACTCATGGGAGACCAAAGTGAAATATATTTGGTGAGTGTTATAATGATTCTTTACCGTGGGAATTAAATCTGCATGTCTAGATATGGTGGGTAAATTTTTCTTCACGTGTTCTCAAAGATTATAAGTTTAAAAGGAAACGCAAGGGAGAGGAGAATACTTCACACGTTGGTGAGTATAATTTGTCTAACTTTTGAAGCCTCTTAACCCTTTAACTCTCAAGATCTGATTGTTAATTCTCCCTTCTAGCTGCTACACATTTCCTTTTTTCATTAAGTTACGAAAATTTGGTGTCAGATCTGTTGTATTCCACGTTAGGAAATTTGCATCTCCAAATATTTCCAATGTCGTCTAGCAATTAATTATTTTGACTCGAACCAGAAGTGGCGAATTGTTATTTATACCTTGCTCCACTTTACCTCTTTCAGATATTGCAAAGATTACAAGTTACCAAATAGGGCCAAGACAGGAAAAATTATGGTTGTTGTTATCTCGCTTGTTACACTTGTAAATCACAGTGAATCTGGTTTCGTAAAAGGTGTAGTTTAAGGCATCGGAATGTAAAAGAATAAAACGATTTGTAATGTATTTATTTATTCTCCTTCGTATAACTTTAAATTTCACACAGTGAACTTGAGAACCCAAAAGATGTTGTGAAACATGTCGACTTCAAAAGACCAAGGATAGGATTTTATGGCTCATTTGAAACCCTGCCTTATTTAGTGGGTGTCATGGTGCAATGACCATTTCAAGCAATTACTTAAGAGAAAGGTCAATCTTGGAATGGACGAAAAATCGGGGGTCGATCCGCCACCGTCCCCCACCACACCCACCTCTTATACACAGTTGTTTTGTAATTTGAGACAAGTTTAACATTGTGGTACGACATAACGTAAAAACATGCGTCTTACAACACGCATGTGTTCTAAAAGATGTAGTTTTACCATAAGTTTCGTCCATTCCAAGATTGACATTTCTTCTTAGTCACTTGCTCGAAATGGTTATTTCGTATGACATCTACAAAGTAAGAAGGAGAGAGCTTCAAATCAGCCATACAAACCTTTCCCGCTAAAAGACTTTTTTTCCCAAAATAAGACGTGGATGCTCATACGTACTTTACGTTAACTAAGTGCACTACAAGGACGAAGTTGGTAGAGGGTAATAGTATCCTAATTTATAACTATTTCCAAGATTAAAATTTTCGTAGGCTTCTTTCATAGAGGGAGCAGAGGCACCTGTGAAATAGAGAGAAATGTGAACGAATTACTAGCTTCCACAACAGTATAGGAGAGGGCTTCATTTTCCGTTCAACTATACCGCAACGGTCATACTCACCAGAATGATGAGTTTCCTTGTCTCCTTGACCTTTCTATCTAATTTTAGAAATAAAAGTGCGAGATGTTAAAAAATTCCAACTCTACTGGATCTGATTTAAAATAATTTACAATTGAAAATATGATTCAAATTTATTTTAAAGTACACACCAATACTAAGTGAAAAGTGAAATAACACAAACGAAAACATTTCAGTATTGTTTGTGACCAACAAATACTAAAATCTGATGCGCTTTCCGTCCGTATTTTTTCCGTTTATTTTTGCCCCGTTTTAAAATATTATACCGTAGTGCGTTTCGGTTCCTTTACAAGTTAAAATGGTGTGAAATAATGAAGTAAATGAACACAGCTCTACTCTAGATCGGGGAAACAATAATATGTACTCACTGACTGAGTAGGAGGACTGAATGGGAAAATATATGGCTCGTGATCATGACGTATGAACTAAGCGCAGCGACAGCCAAATGTTTTTTCGTCCAGCCCGACCAAACTCAGTCAATAAGTATATGACCACAGGATTGTTGAAAATTTCGAAATTGCGTTTCAACCTTAATAGGACGCGATAGACGGGCGCATGCGGGACAACCACAAAAAATAATCAACAATCAAACTTTCCTTTTCTTATTCGAGTCAGAACAAGAAACTCAATTCATCGAAAAACGCAACTTTTCTTACTCTTTTCAGTTTTACTTAAATTTTTTTGCAAAAAAAGCCGTGGAGTGCTGAGCCGGATAGCTTTTTTCCAGACAGATCAGAGTCCACCCGTCCGGTCCTACACTAGTCAGCTTTCATTATGGTTTTCTACTGGATTGCGCGCGCGGGGCTTAATGGGTCATATTATAATACTGATTATGGGTTTTCATCCTGACGTTGAAGAAAGTGATTCAAGGGTTTTCAACCACTCACTAATGTGGTGGAGTAAATTAAACCTGCACAAGCCTAGATTACTTTGGACACATTGCAATGAAAGTTGCTATATTCTGTAGAATAACGATGAACTTACCACTGGGGAGATACATTTCCCTTCTACTTCATTGACCAGTACAACCCAACAGGATATCTGAACCTCACTCTACACGCAAAGAGTAATCATGTACTTAGTCCTGGGGTCTGGAATTGAAAAGATAAATGATAACTCGATATTTGATAGTTTTGGATACTTTCGAATTGACGATACTCGTTGTGTTGTAGCAAAACCTTTAGTCTCTGTGAAGGATATTTTGCGTCATTAGGATGGCTGTTCAATGTGGATGAAAAAAGAACTTCTCCTTAAAACTATTCATCTCAAACATCATACGTCTTTTTTCTTGATTTTTGGACATTGTAATGTTGAACAAGAATTTAATTCAGATTTCAAAAAAATCCCTAGAAAGAAACGTAGCAAGATACCTGTATAAAAGTCCCATTCCGATTACGACTGAGGAAGTGGCTTACCACGGCAAGCAGACTATATTGTGGGTCAGCTATAAGTCACCCATCTCTGGTAGACTGTTTAAGATCCATTCACCACAGCAGGACAGCCCAGTTTCTGAAAAAACTTTCTCTCTTTGCTATTTGGTGGACCAAGTTAGGGTCAGCTATTAGTGTCCCGTCTCTGGTACACAGTTCAATACCTATTAAGCACAGATACAGTCCAGTTTCTGAAATAGTTTTCATACTCTTCTCATGGTTTTTTCAGTGGACCAAGTCTTAGCATCACAGATCAAGACAGAGGAAGAGACTTCATGGGCTATTGGTCTCCCATCTCTGATACACAAGTCAGGATCCATTCAGCACAGCAAGACAGTCCAGTTTCCAAAATTATTTTCACACTATTCTCCCTTTTTCGGTGGACCAAGTCTTAGCATCCCAGATCAAGACTGAGGAAGAGATTTCATGGGTGAGGCCACCTACAATGTAGGTCAGCGATTAGTTACCCGTCTCTGGTACACAGTTCAAGATCCATTCAGCACAGCAAGACAGTCCAGTTTCCAAAATAGTTTTCACACCCTTCTCCTTGTTTTTTCAGTGGACCAAGTCTTAGCATTACAGATCAAGACTGCAAGGAGACTTCATGGGTGAAGCTGACTCCACATTGTGGGTCAGCTGTTCGTCACCCATCTCTGATACATAAGTCAGGATCCATTTAGCACAGCAAGACAGTCCAGTTTCCAAAATTATTTTCACACTCTTCTTCTTGTTTTTTGTAGGACCAAGTCCTAGCATCACAGATCAAGACTGCAAGAAGACTTACTGGGTCAAGCTGACTCCACATTGTGCGTCAGCTGTTAGTCACCCATCTCTCCTACGCAAGTCAAGATCCGTTCAGCACAGCAAGACAGTAAAATTATATTCACACCCTTCTCCTTGTTTTTTGGTGGACCAGGTCTTAGCATCACAGATCAAGACTGAGAGGAGACTTAATGTGTAAAGCCAACGCCACAAATTGTGGGTCAGCTTTTGGTCACCCATCTCTGATACATAAGTCAGGATCCATTCAGCACAACAAGACAGTCCAGTTTCCAAAACAGTTTTCACACTCTTCTCTTCATTTTTTGGTGGACCAAGTCTAAGCATCACAGATCAAGACTGAGGAAGAGACTTCATGGATGAAGCCGACCCCATTGCCGGTCAGCTATTAGTCACCCATCTCTTGTACACAGTTCAAGATCTGTTTAGCACAGCAAGACAGTCCAGTTTCCAAAATAGTTTTCACACTCTTCTCCTTGTTTTTTTGGTGGACCAAGTCTTAGCATCCCAGATCAAGACTGAAGAAGAGACTTCATGGGTGAGGCCCCCTACATTGTAGGTCAGCGATTAGTTACCCGTCTCTGGTACACAGTTCAAGATCCGTTCAGCACAGCAAGACAGTCCAGTTTCCAAAATAGTTTTCACACCCTTCTCCTTGTTTTTTCAGAGGACCATGTCTTAGCATTACAGATCAAGACTGCAAAGAGACTTCATGGGTGAAGCTGACTCCACATTGTGGGTCAGCTGTTCGTCACCCATCTCTGATACATAAGTCAGGATCCATTCAGCACAGCAAGACAGTCCAGTTTCCAAAATTATTTTCACACTCTTTTCCTTGTTTTTTGTAGGACCAAGTCCTAGCATCACTGATCAAGACTGCGAGAAGACTTACTGGGTCAAGCTGACTCCACATTGCAAAGTTCAAGATCTGTTTAGTGCAACAAGACAGTCCAAGTTCCAAAATAGTTTTCACACTTTTCTCTTTTGTTTTTTGTCAGACAGACTCTTAGCCTACCAGATCAAGACCAAGAATGACACTTTATGGGTAAAGGCAACTCCATTGTTGATCAGCTATTTGTCCTCCATCTCTTGTACACAAATCAAGATCCATAAAAGAGGTAGATGTGGTGGGAGGCAGTGCTCTAATGGTTCCCCAATTTTTTTTTTTGCCTTCCAAGGTGGACGTTTTTCTATTGCCTCCTTCTCCAAGGGGTCAGAGATACCTGCGAAAAAAATTTAAGAAGAATCCATTGAGTTAGGGTGTCATTTTGTATTGTTTGAAACCGTCAACTCATTTAGTCAACATGCTGAATATTGGCAGAGTTCTTTTGTTTGGTTTTTCACAAAAACCCAACAAGGGAACTACAGAGCCATTACATCTAGTCATCTTAATCAATAAAGCTTGATTTATCATATAGCAAACATATTTTGCTTTTATTAATAAGAATCAAGAATGACTTGTTTATCTAAGAGCTGGAAAAGAAAACCAACACCATTTGTAGCACAATAAACCCCTGAATAGTTATTCATGTTTCTTTGTTTGAACGGTATTCTGCCACTTTTTGCAACTCCAAATATAAGTTGTATTAGCCTATAGCAGATAAATGTACCTCCTTTGTGCAGTAAAACCTTTGCCATGCAATTGTAACAGTCAATGTCTCCTCACAAACTTTTATAGCTCTCATTAAATTTTAAAGAATTATTTTTCACCACAGTGGAGGTGAAAAGTGAGTGACATCGACCATCTCATAACAACTATGGATAACCAGCTATTGCAACAAGGTGAGGAAGAATAATGTTTTAGCCAATATCACACACATTGAATAACTTAAGACCAAAGTATGACAATATTTCCAACAATACACTGTACATCAGCATCAGCAAAAGGCAAATCTCATCATAAAATTCTTGATGTGATCCCTATAATTATGAGCAGATGAGATGGCTTAAGTGTTAACACCCTGGACTAGGGGTGGAGAGGTCCCAGTTCACATCTTAGCTGAGTCAATGTTGTGTTCTCAGGCTGGAAATTTCCTCTCACAGTGCCTCCTCCCACCCAGGAGTACAATTAAGTACAAGAGATCTGTCAGGGAAAGCTGACAAAATTCCTGAGGGTAACTTTGGGATGGAGAAGCATCCCATCCAGGGGAAGAAGAAATGCCTCAGCAACCAGGACTAAAGTTCACCTAAGACTACATGTAGATGCAATTTTTTCTCAAATAATGCCTTAACAAATCACATAAAACTCAAAACCTATCAAGAATTGAGTTCAGCCCCATTAAAAAACTGTACAAAGTACTCAGAGGCATGGATGAAAATAACTCAATTGTTAAAAAAGTGCCACTTTCTAAATTTAAGGGGAAAATCTCCTACTACTGGGTGATGTGCTTCTAAATAACATACATACTAAATTGGTACACAAGCAGTCTTCCAACATAACTGTAAACAAGCTAGCCTACTCAGTACTAATTTAAAATCAGCATGCATACTTGTTATGTGCCTCTACCTTTTAACTTCCAAATCAAATTTGTAATTCTCCTTACTATCAATCACAATTCTTATAGATGTTAGTTCAGAGAATTTAGTATTGGATCAACCAATCATCCCCAAATTGATATTTTCTTTATTCTCATCACTTATCTGATTGATATTGTATTGATTTTGTAGGGAGAAAGCTGTCTTGGTTGCTCATGGGAGTTAGGGGTTGAAGACAGAGTAAATTGGTTCACAAGACAGTCTTCCAACATATTTGTGATCAAGCTAACCTACTAATAGTACAAGCAGGGTGCCAATGCAACTAAATTTTTCACTTTGGCGACCAAATCCTGAAAATTAGTCGCCAAATTGGCACCTAGAATGCTTCATCATAACCTTATCTGGAGATATAGTGAATTAAAAAGATTTGCAAAGATAAATCCGCGGCAAAATTCCTCATTAGGTTTGTTTCCAAAACACAGCACATGCATCTCAATCAATAACAAGACACCATCTTTGATTTAGGTGAGCTTGAGAGTTGTATATCATCATTCCTAGTGTCCACTTTGTAGTATGAAAGATCTTTTTCCTAACCTTATTTTAGAGGGTCTATCTAGCACGCTGACAGCGTAAAAAAGAAAAAAGTTTTGTTTGTCTTTAAAAATGGCGACCAACTTTTTTTGAATTGGCTACCACTTTGAAAATTTAGGATCAGTAAGAAAAAATTAATTTCACACCCTGACAAGTAATTTAACATCATCATACTTGTTCTGATAGTTAAGTTTCCTATTCTAAGTAAAAGTACAGCAACAGTGATAGGTACTTTAGTGATTACCAGTTCTTAGTAAATAAGATCAGTTTTTCTATTTCTCAGCTTGCACATATACATAAACCGCTTTTGCATTCTTAGAAGCTATTTTGCTCCCCTCCCACTCCTCCCAGTAACTCATCTTGCTGATCTTAGTATCTGTCTGAGTTTTGCAACAGACAGTCTTTTATTTTTTATTTTTTTAGTTGTTTAACCCTTTAACTCCCAGATCAAATTTGTAATTCTCCTTACTGTCAACCTTACAACTCTTATAATGTTAGTTCAGAGAATTTAGTATTGGATCAGCTAATTATCCCCATATTGATATTTTTCTCCATTCTCATCACTTATCTGGTTGATATTGTATTGATGTTGTATTGATATTGTAAGGGAAATTCTGGTATGGTCACTCATGAGAGTTTAAGAGTTAATCTTATGTTTAAGTATTATTTTGTTATTAGCTTGGTTGTATCATATAGGAGTCGTGTATTTGAGAAAGCATCAGTAAATTAGTGATTTGTAACTCAAAAGGCTGTCTTTGTCCCAAACATTGCTTGGTGTTTTGTTTTGTGGTTTAGAACCTTTTAAAGCAAACTCGGCTCCTCCTTTCGTGTATAAAACGATCAGAATTTCAGATTAATCCGACAGGATCACAGGCTTGCTTCGCAGCTTAAAATAAGAGGAAGCAAAGATAAACGATTCAATGTGCCCGTCAAGCACTTCCTCACCTCTGGTATTTGACTGGCTGTCTCACGTGGTCTCCTTTTGAAAGTTTTCCAGCCGCTTTGCAAGTCACATTTTCCATACAAGCACCATAAACAGCAGGTAACATAAAATGGAAGGTACGAGATCGATTAACTGCCATTTTTTCTCCTATTGTGGTACCAGACTGGGCAGTTCTTTCCATCTTCAACTGGCGTTGTAACT